ATTGTTCAATAACTTTTTTTGTGAATGTAGTTTCTTCATGAAACTTTCAGATTATGATTATATCATGGATATGTATGTACTTGCCAAAGCAAGTATTTGAAATACGCCTTTTACAAATGGGATGGTGAGGGGGTGAATTAGGGGTGGGGGGTGAATTTTGACAAAAACCGAAATTGTATAAAATGCATATAAGTATACATAACAAATTTGGAGATCCTAGCTTTAAAGATGTAGGAGATATAAATTTATTACTGGTTTTCGATAATGTTTTTGATCGATAACAAAATAACGGGGCAATTTATCGATATTTAAAGTAAAACTCGATATGCGCGTGCTACACACGGACCTGGGAAAAAAAAATTTGAAGTCTCTAGCTCTTATATCTTTTGAGAACGACGCGTTCAAACATACGGACAGACGGACGGGTGGACAGACGGACAGGGCTAAATCAACTCAGCTCGTCGCCCTGATCAAGAATATATATACTGTATGGGGTCTGCCACGCCTCCTTCTGCCTGTTACATACATTTAACAAAACCATTATACCCTGATTTCCCATTGAAAATGGGTTCAGGGTATAAAAATTTGTAACCTTATTAACGAAAGCAAAATGAGTATATGGGTTTGTGCAATGTCCTCCTTGCTGTCCGTGCTCATTTCACCTACACAGTAAATTAGTGTCATGGCTAAAACCTGAATCAAACATTTTCATAAAATTACATTTTGATTCTTGGTCCATATTATAGACCCGCAGAACGAGTTTTTTCCATGTAACGAATTTGTCAATATGCTTTAGCTACTTGGTAGTGGAAGTACTACCCAATATCGAAAAGATAGAATGGATATATTTGCTCATTAGAGTCCTGACAAATCAACAACAAACTGTATCTTCTAGAATACAGATAAAAACTCGAGAAGCAAAAAACTCTAGTCGAAAATTATCCATTTTCCCAATACATATGCGTAGATTCAGGTCTCTAACATCAATAAAGCAGAAATTAAATAGAAGCTTGATATTTAGATCCGATTTACCATATATAGTTTTTTCATAGATATTTAAAGAAAATTAAGTTTACGAAATTTTTGCTATCTTGCTTTATAGCAAATTAAGTATTACCCGTTTTGCCACGCCCCCAATAGATATATCCGCCACACCTTAGATCGACGTGTTCATGGATAATTCGTCTCAGTTCGTCGCCCTGATGAAGAATATATATACTTTGTGGGGTCGGCAACGCCTCCTCCTGCCCTTTACATACATTTAACAAAAACATTATAACCTGATGAAAAAAAAATTAAGATAGAATTAGCTTTCTAGCTCTAAAACAGAAGATGCAGTTTTGCCACACCCCTAACGGACGTAGATATAGAAGCCCTATCTGTTTTATTTCAGGTGATCAACGTGTACATTCCAAATTGCAGCTTTCTAGCTTTTCAACTAATGTATTTATGGAATAACGGAAAATGCATTTTCCACGCCTCTAAAATTTAAGACGGTATAGACGAGAATATAATCCAAATTTCAAACCAAGCGTATAGAGTTGAACAAAATTTCGTTCATACAGACGGTCGGTCAGACGGACGGATGGACAGCAAAAATTGAACAAAATCAATATACGCGCTTCACTACAATGAGTTCAAAAATGATAGTATTTGCTATTCTTAGCATATATTTTCTTTGAAACCCGAATGCTAACAAATTAACTTTCTGTTGATGCACAGTGAAAAATTTAGTTTTTTTATATGAAGTTACAAAAATATATACAAAACAAGTAAGAAGACTATAGTCGAGACTGCTCGACTAAGAGATACCCTGAACCCTCTAATCTGATATTCTAATCACTCTGCACTTCTTTTCGGCACACGTACATACACATCCACGTATTAGAACGCGCTCTGCTAACTGCGCTTGTGCTGCGCTGCAGTGTGGCCAACATTATAAGGATTTATTTGTTGAATATTTTAATTTCTAGACGTACAATCTTAATGAAACTTTCAGAACATAATCATAATATTTAAATGTATGTACATTCCAAAGCACAAGTCTCTAGTACTTGAAATACGCCTTTTACGAAGGTGAGGGTGAGGGGGTGGATATAGGGGTGGGGGGTAAATTACAACAAAAATCGAAATTATATAAAATGCATATAAGTCTACATATAAAATTTGGAAGCTCTAGCTCTAAAGGTGTAGGAGGTATAATTAAATAACTAGCATTCGATAAGGTTTTTGATCGATAATAAATTATCGGGAGTAGTTATCGATATAAAAAGAAAAACTTGATATGCGCGTGATATACACGGACCTAGGAAAAAAAATTTCAAGTCTCTAGCTCTTATATCTTCGGAAATCGACGCGTTCATACATACGGACGGACGGACGGACGGATGGACGGACGGACGGACGGACAGACAGACGGACAGGGCCAAATCGACTTAGCTCGTCGCCCTGATCAAGAATATATATACTTTGTGGGGTCTGCCACGCCTCCTTCTGTCTGTTACATACTTTTAACAAAACCATTATACCCTGATTTCCCATTTTCAATGGGTTCAGGGTATAACAAATATGATTTTCTTCTTATTGTTTACATTAAAATGCGGACAGAAGCTTTATGATTTTCTTCAATGCTTGTATATGTACAATCTATGTATAAGTATCGATTTTCACGCTTCTACACTTTTAGCTGATTCGTAGACGTAAGGTCTTCCTTAGAAATTCTTCCTTTCAGAAATTAATTATTTTAAAGCGCAACTTTCGTTTTATATGTGGCAAACTAGTTTTTTTTTATACCCTGAACCCATTTTCAATGGGAAATCAGGGTATAATGGTTTTGTTGAAATGTATGTAACAGGCAGAAGGAGGCGTGGCAGACCCCACAAAGTATATATATTCTTGATCAGGGCGACGAGATGAGTTGATTTGGCCCTGTCCGTCTGTCTGTCCGTCTGTCCGTCTGTCCGTCTGTACGTCCGTCCGTCTGTCCGTCTGTCCGTATGTATGAACGCGTCGATTTCAGAAGATATAAGAGCTAGAGACTTCAAATTTTTTTTAAATGTTCGTAATTACAGCGCGCATATCAAGTTTATCATTAAAAATCGATAACTCATCCCGATATTTTTTTATCGATAAAAAACCTTATCGAAAACCAGTTATAAAATTATATCTTCTACACCTTTATTGCTAGAGTCTCCAAATTTTTAATGTATGTTTATATGCAATTTATACAATTTCGGTTTTTGTTAAAATTTACCCCCCACCTTTAAATTCACCCCCTCACCCTCACTTTTGTAAAAAGCGTATTTCAAATACTAGAGACTTGTGCTTTAGCAATTACATGCATATCCATGTCATAATCATAATCTGAAAGTTTCATGAAGATCGTACGTCCACAAAAAAGTTATTAAGCAATTAAGTTCTCAGAGTAAGCGCTCACTGTCGCCCATGCGTCTTTATGCTTGTGTGTGTATATGTATGTAATTGTTTGTGTATGTGTGTGTGTGTGTGTGTGTGTGTGTGTATGTGTGTATGTATGTGTGTGTATGTATGCCTGTGTGTGTGTGTGTGCGTGTGTGTGTGTGTGTGTGTGCGTGTTTCTTGTGTAAGCTGAAAGACGCGAAAAATTATTGAAATAGCTATTACTCCAAGGGTTCAGGGGATCTCGTAGTCGAGTAGTCTCGACTAGAGCTTTCTTACTTGTTTTTAAATATTATTTATGATGTAGTAAACAAATAAAAAAGTTGAAAGATAGATGATAATTAAAAAGTTTCCATGGTATCAGATTTTGGATAAATTTAATGTTGTGCACCGCAACAATTGAAAATCAATAAGCATATAATAGAAACAAGTAAGAAAGCTCTAGTCGAGACTGCTCGACTTCGAGATCCCCTGAACCCTTCGAACAACTGATATTTCAATAATTATTCGCACATGCACACACACAGACATATGCACGCACACATAAACACGCATTGGCTGCAATGGTGACTTAGTATGGGAAATTAATTGATCAATAACTTTTCTTGTCGATGGACGATCTTCATGAAACTTTCAGATTATGATTACATAGACATGCCAAAGCACAAGTCTCTACTATTTGAAATTCGCCATTTACAAATATGTAGGTGAGGGGGTGAATAGAGGGGTGGGGAGTAAATTTTGACAAAATCGAAATTCCATAAAGTACATATGAATCTATATTTAAAATTTGGCGACTCTAGCTTTGAAGATGTAGCACATTAAATTTATTACTGGTTTTCGATCATGTTTTTAATCGATAACAAAATAACGAGGCCAGTTATTGATTTTTAAAGCAAATTTCGATATGCGCGTGATATACATGACCCTAGGAAAAAAATTTCAAGTCCTTAGCTCATATATCTTCTGAGATCGACGCGTTCATACATACGGACGGACGGACAGGCAGAAGAACAGGGTTAAATCAACTCAGCTCGTCGCCGTGATCAAGAATATATATATACTTTATGGTGGGTCTCCTGCCTGTTACATACTTTTAACAAAAACCTTATACCCTGATTTCCCATTTTCAACGGTTCAGGGTATAACAAAGGTTTTAGATTACAAAGGGTGCTTGCTATAAACATTTTATAACAACAACTTCACTACTCACATTCATGCTTAATGTAGTATCATTAAAATTCTTTGCTATCGTGTGTGTGCAAAATTTTAAAAACTCTTGCTACCAACAAATCATTTTCGGAACCTATACTCTGTTGTATACATATACATAATGCTGAGCAAAATAAATTATTTATTTATTTAAAGTTGGGGAAGTATTAGATATTATATTCATTTTATTATTTCACTTGTTATACTTGCAACGTTATTATGTAATTCCTTACGATTTTGTTTGTAATTCCGTTACATTTAGCGCAAATTTCTTTTCTATTTTTACAAATTTTCTATCGCAAAAACGCACTAACATGCAAACACACAATGAACTGTCATTTATATATATATATATATATATATAAAGTTACCGTTGTACTTCTTCCTGTTTACCGTCCATTTATTAATTGAAACACACATACGGCTGAGCCAAACTACGTCGACTAACTAACTGACAGGACGGTCAGCGTTCATTGTGAAAAAGACACTTTTAAATATTTGTAACAGTAATGCCTTAAAGTTGTATTTGAAAAACAGAAAGAGAGAAAACATGGAGTCATTTAAGTAGAAGAGAAGGTACTAAAGATGTCTTCTCTTCGTATGTATATACGTATTAAAGTAGTGGTTGAATTTCTTGTTTATCGTTTATAAAAAATTGAGGGTTGTTTACAGGGTGCACATATATTTGAATCAATCTGTGACTAGTTTTACTACGCATGCGTTGATCCAATAAAGAAACAAAAAAAAGATAAATTAAGCCATACATTAGTGCATATTATAATCATTAACAAACTGAAATGAGTGTAAGGCTTTTATTCAATGTCCGTCTTGCTGTCCGTCCATCTGTCCGTCTTTTCAAAACATTTCAATGCTTTTGAAGAAAAAATTTAAATGTAATACTTCAGTTTCTATTAAAGCCTTATTGACGGAAGAATCAAATCTGTGAGAAACTTCGAATAGTATAGGTATGCATATATAAGTAACGATATTTCCAGTTTTAAATTCTTAACCTCAAAATTCAAATGCATATCGAAAAATAACCTGTAATTTACACATATTTTGAGCGGAAGCATCAAAATTTTGCAGTTACGTTACCTTCAGCTCGTTCTAACATCGGAAAAAATATTTTGTGTCTACGGTTTGTAGAAAAACAGCTTTTGGGAGATTAATTAAGTATATTAAAAATGGGAAATCAGAGTATAATGGTTTTGTTCAATTGTATGTAACAGGCAGAAGGATGTACCTTGGCTAGCCTAGGAACATCCAAATTTTTTACAGCTCTCGACTTAACTTCGGGCTTTCACCAGATACTTCTGAAAGAGTCGGATACGGCCAAGACGGCGTTTTCAACACTGAATGGAAAATACGAATTCCTTCGCCTTCCTTTTGGATTAAAAAACGTCCCCGCAATTTTCCAAAAGATGATTGACGACGTGTTAAGGCTATATATTTGTAAAATCTGTTACGTTTACATAGATGATATTTAATCTTCAGCAAGGATTATAAAAACAAGTAAGAAAACTCTAGTCGAGAGTGCTCGACTAGATACTACCCTGAACCCAACTAATAAAAATGCCCATTTACTATGTCTAAAATTTCAATTTCGATGTATTTAAAAATATAAATTAAATAGAAAACTCATTTATGAAAATATAAAAATATTTTGAAACAATTAAAAAAATTAACATTAGTTGCACCGATCGAGATTCGAACCGCGACTTCTCAATCGAGCGTTATGCAGCTAACACACTACGCCACCTCACTTCTGAAAGTGGCGCTGGCAAAACTCAAATAGATTCACTGCTGCAGCGCCATCTAGCAAAACAAAACCAAACTAACTGCTGATGTGATTCTAAGAATCTGCTAGAATAACCAAACTAGAAAATACCAAAACGCACATTTAGTATGGTTAAAATTTAAATTTCGGTGTATTAAAAAATATAAATTAAATAGAAAACTCATTCATGAAAATATAAAAATATTTTGAAACAATTAAAAAAATTAACATCAGTTGCACTGATCTGAATTCGAACCGCGACTTCTCGATCGAGCGTTTCGCCTCTAACACACTACGCCACCTCACTTTAGGAAGCTGCGCTGCCAAAATTAAAATAGATTCACTGCTGCAGCGCCATCTACCAAAACTAAACCAAACTAACAGCTGATGTGATTCAAAGAATGTTCTAGAAGAAGTTTGAATGTATGTGTGCACACGTATACGATGCTTTGATGATTTTTAATTAATTTTTGACTTAATGGAATTTAATGAAACTTTCAGCATATGATCTACATATTATATTGAATATTTGAGAAATTTCAAAAAATGAAAAATCATTCACAATTAACTATAGTGGCATTTGACTTGAACTTGAATGTTTTTATTCGATAAAAACATAACGGGATGCTTTATCGAATTTTAAAAGCTAACTCGACATCCGCGCTGTATATACGGTCATTTAAATGTTTTAAATTGAAGTCTCTAGCTCGTATATCTTCGGAAATCGACGCGTTCAAACATACGGACAGTCGGACAGACAGACCGACGGACAGGGCCAAATCAACTCAGCTCGTCGCCCTTATCAAGAATATAGATATGTCGGATATTTCAGCAGATTAGATAATTTTGTGGAGTGCAGCGTGTTCCTGCACTGTTGCCCTCCTTCCTCTTGCTAATCAACTGTCTGAATTTCACTAGCACGTTCGATTACATACATCGTAACCAACTGCCCACCTCGTCGGGACCACACTCGATATTAGTGTTAATTAACATCTCACTCTATCAATATTACCCATACTATGCGGCCATTCTGATGTTCACACGTCCTCGTGTGTTACAAACTAAAGACTAATAAGATAAACTAAACAGCAATATGCATAGCTCAACTTAAAAAACAAATAAATCCAAACCTATTATTTATTTATTTATTTATTTCTTAAAGCTATTGACAACAAGTAAGAAAGCTCTAGTCGAGACTGCTCGACTACGAGATCCCCTGAACCCTTGGAGCAATAGATATTTCAATACTTTTTCGCGACTTTCAGCTTACACAAGAAACACGCACACACACACACACACACGCACGTACGCACACACAGGCATACATACACACACACGCATACAGACACACATACACACACACACGCATACATACACAAACGCATACACACACACACATACACATACAAGCAACCACGCATAAACACGCATGGGCTGCAGTGTGCGCTTTTTTTATGGACGTACGATCTTCATGAAACTTTTAGATTATGATTATAACATGAATATGCATGTAATTGCCAAAGCACAACTCTCTAGTATTTGAAATACGCTTTTTACAAAAGTGACGGTGAGGGGGTGAATTTAGAGGTGGGGGTAAATTTTAACAAAAACCGAAATTGTATAACGGACAGACGGACAGACAGACGGACAGGGCCAAATCAACTCAGCTCGTCACCCTGATCAAGAATATATATACTTTGTGGGGTCTGCCACGCCTCTTTCTCCCTGTTACATACATTTCAACAAACCCATTATACCCTGATTTCCCATTGAAAATGGGTTCAGGGTATAAAAACGAGAGTCAATTTTAATTTAAACAAGTAAGAAAGCTCTAGTCGAGACTACTCGACTACGAGATCCCCTGAACCCTTGGAGTAATAGCTATTTCAATAATTTTTCGCGTCTTTCAGCTTACACAAGAAACACGCACACACACACACACACACACACACACACACACACACACACACACACACACACACACACACACACACACACACGCACGCACGCACAGACACACACATACACAAACAATTACATACATATACACACACACAAGCATAAACACGCATGGGCGGCAGTGAGCGCTTACTATGAGAAATTAATTGCTTAATAACTTTTTTTGTGGACGTACGATCTTCATGGAACCTTTAGATTATGATAACAACATAGATATGCATGTATTTGCCAAAGCAGTATTTGAAATACGCTTTTTGCAAAAGTGAGGGTGAGGGGGTGAATTTAGAGGTGGGGGGTAAATTTTAACAAAAACCGAAATTTTATAAATTGCATATAAGCATACATTAAAAATTTGGAGACTCTAGCAATAAAGGTGTAGGAGATATAATTTTATAACTGGTTTTCGATAAGGTTTTTTATCGATAAAAAAAGATCGGGATGAGTTATCGATTTTTAATGATAAGCTTGATATGCGCGCTGTAATTACGGACATTTAAAAAAAAAATTGAAGTCTCTAGCTCTTATATCTTCTGAAATCGACGCGTTCATACATACGGACGGACGGACGGACGGACGGACAGACAGACGGACAGGGCCAAATCGACTTAGCTCGTCGCCCTGATCAAGAATATATATACTTTGTGGGGTCTGCCACGCCTCCTTCTGCCTGTTACATACTTTTAACAAAACCATTATACCCTGATTTCCCATTTTCAATGGGTTCAAGGTATAAAAAAAAATAAATAAATAAAATGAAAGGAGTTAAAAAAACAATAAAAAACAAGTAAGAAAGCTCTAGTCGAGACTACTCGACTAAGAGATCCCCTGAACCCTTGGAGTAATAGCTATTTCAATAATTTTTCGCGTCTTTCAGCTTACACAAGAAACACGCACACACACACACACACACACACGCACGCACGCACGCACACACAGGCATACATACACACACATACATACACACATACACACACACACACATACACAAACAATTACATACATATACACACACACAAGCATAAACACGCATGGGCGGCAGTGAGCGCTTACTATGAGAAATTAATTGCTTAATAACTTTTTTTGTGGACGTACGATCTTCATGGAACCTTTAGATTATGATAACAACATAGATATGCATGTATTTGCCAAAGCAGTATTTGAAATACGCTTTTTACAAAAGTGAGGGTGAGGGGGTGAATTTAGAGGTGGGGGGTAAATTTTAACAAAAACCGAAATTGTATAAATTGCATATAAGCATACATTAAAAATTTGGAGACTCTAGCAATAAAGGTGTAGGAGATATAATTTTATAACTGGTTTTCGATAATTTTTTTTATCGATAAAAATAGATCGGGATGAGTTATCGGTTTTTAATGATCAACTTGATATGCGCGCTGTAATTACGGACATTATAAAAAAAATTTGAAGTATCTAGCTCTTATATCTTCTGAAATCGACGCGTTCATACATACGGACAGACGGACGCACGGACAGACGGACAGACAGACGGACAGGGCCAAATCAACTCAGCTCGTCGCTTTGATCAAGAATATATATACTTTGTGGGGTCTGCCACGCCTCCTTCTGCCTGTTACATACATTTCAACAAAACCATTATACCCTGATTTCCCATTGAAAATGGGCTCAGGGTATAAAAAGAAAAAGGAAGGTATTAAAAGAAGTTGCAAGAAAAGTTAATACAAAGAATAAGAAATAATAAAAAGAAAAGAGTAAGGGAAAAGCCAAAATAGAGTATAT